GTATTCAACTGCTGTAAGCATTAGACTGCCCATTCTCTGCTTTCATCTTTACTTTAAGGTTGCTCAATTTATGGTGCACAGACTGTACATCGCCCACCAGAGCATTTTATAAGGCCCACGGCCTGCTTCAACACATTATATGAATGGCTGATTCATTAGCATTTTGTCATCATGTTTACATCATTCTAGTTTACACAAGTTGTAAATAGACAATGTTTCTATGTACAGTAATCTATCTACATATGAAACAAGCTGAACCTAAAATATAAATCAATACAAGTGACTTTAAATCTTATTAAAATTAAATTAAAAACTTATTAATGTTGATTAATATTAATTATATTATCCTCCTTTAATTCTTTGTTAATCGAGTAATGTACCAGCCGCTCTATTATCTTGCCCAGGATTGATGTTAGGTTAGGTGACTTTAAATCTTATTAAAATATGTAGAATCTGTTTGGCCCACACAGTTTTGCTTAGGTTTGCTAAGGTTGTGCTTCGGTTTATGTAGCCCTCCTGTGTAATAAGATTGGGCATCATTGCTTCATTCACTATACATCTTCCAAAAAAAATTCATCATGCAGTTGAAGATTGTATCATAATGCATACACACAAGAGAGCCAAATTAAGGTTTTACAGTGAACCTTCATTCTGGCATTTTCTAACTTATGAGTGCTTGACTTTGCAACTTAATAACCTTTTAGTATAGTTTTATTGTGTAATGTCATAGGTAAGGATATGATTTAATCATGAATGTCATGGATTCCATGGCTTTAACGAACGTCCATGACTTCTTTGGCTTCAGCCTCTTCTGCAGCGCACTCCTCCCCCCATTATTTTTAATAAAAGGTTAAAAATTCAGTGAATTTTTGGTTTTTGCCTGCAGCCTGTCCTTGACATTTACTAAAAATAACCGTGACAAAATCTTAACTTAATCATAGGATTTTAAAAAAGCAAAGACAAACAGAAATTCCATCATGTCATGTTGATGCTCAGAAGTAAAGCAGCATTGGAACCTACTGATCTTTCAGATCGTCAGCCATTTGAGGTCATGGTGTAACTGGTAGTGGTAGTAAGTTGTCATCTTTTATGTGGAACAGTACTAGATGGGGATGGGTTTTGGAGATGTTTTTTCACAGCAGAGGAATGGTGAAACGCAGGAATCTTAGATTCCATTCCAGGAGGGGAGTGTTGCCACAGACTTTTCTGCCCATTCCCTCCAAGTTCAACTCTTTTTGCTCCCCCCAATCCTCACTCTTCCACTTCTCCTCTCTTCTCTTCATTTCTTGTCCCAGTGAATGCCACTTTCATCATCTTGCTAACCCCAGTCTCCACTCCTCAGGTGTCTCATCATTGTATCATCCCACCGAACTCCCCGTCTCAGTCTCTTTGTCCAGCCAGGCCCAGTTCCCCACATATCTTGGTTCCTTGTCCCCGAGACGCCTTGCCCAGCCAGACTCCCAGTCTCATTTCCTGCCCCTTCTGACTCCTTGTCCCAGTCCATTCCCCTCTTCTTCCTGCAGGTCTGGCTCTTGTCCCCTCCACTTTCTAATCAGGCAGCTTCCTTCTGCATACTGTCTGGGGCCAGCAGAGGGATCATTGACAGCACAGAAGAGAGAGTCTCCCTGGACTCAGTTCAAATGTCTGGACCTAGCACAACAGCTCAGAGCTACAATTGCAGGGAAAGCCCTGCTTAGCTTCAAGCTAGAGCATGTGCAAAGTAGACAAAACCTTTGGGAAATTTAGTTGCTGAAATCCAAGTTGTCTCTACTGAATGTGCTCAAACTTTCATTTTTCAAGACTTATAACTTGGTCAAATTTAGGCAGATTTTCACAGACACAACCCAGAGCACATCCCTAAAACAATGTCTGCCCCTGCGAATTTCAAGTCCTGCTCAAAAGCAAGTGGAGGGGGCATGAGAGATTTTCGAAGAAAACGTCACCAGACCTTTTTAACATGGTGACTTAAAGGTGCCTTAGCTCACACTCCCCATGAACTGCAAGTTCTCAGTGTCTGACCTTTTGTTTTAGCATGTAGAGAGAGACCTCTAGATCTGTAATATTCAAGAAGGGGATTTTAAATGTGAGGTCTTAAACTTTCAGAATTTGTCTTCTGAGGTGAAATATGTCTTAGTTGTCCCATGGGACCATTCCTGTCTTAATAAACAATTGTACACATCCCCACTCCTTACAGTTCTGACCTTTTTCCTTGATAGAATGTGGGGAAACCCTTAAATGCGGTAGGGTCTTTATATCATTCCTGATGCCAGGAACAACAATTCAAAACGCACAAGTGTGGATCTGTATGTGATAGCAAAATGACAGAATCTGTTGCTTTAAACATGACAGGCACATAATTACTGTGGGCACCCACAATCTGGTCTTTGTTCAGAACAGAAAGTTCTTACAATTTCTTTAAAAAAATTTAGCTTTTAATTTAAAAAGTCTACAGGTTCAAATAGAATTTCCTAATTGAAAACCAAGTTTAGAGGCTTAAACTGCCACAAGGATTTATTTCTCCATAGTCGGCACAATCCTAAGAAAGCAGTTTGAATTTCATGGCTGCCATGAACTGTGATGCTTTTAAAGTGATGGCACTATACAGTATATGTTAAAATTACAATTTTCCCTTAATTGTCTGATTCCAGTTCACCATGAAGAAGCATACACTATGCATAGATTTTTTTTCTTCTGCATAATTTGGGTTGTACATTTTCTGGCTATTTCAGATTCGTGATTCCAATTGTAACTATGAGGCCTTCATGAATGTTATTAAATTAAGTGACAATGTAGGGGAGCTGGAAGCAGTAAGAGATAAGGCTGGAGAAGAACTGCAATATCTTCGATCCTTAGATACAGCAGGAGATGGTTAGTATTTTTATTTTAATGAAGAAATAAAATAGGCAAAAGCTAACAGATTTTTGTTTTATTTTGTAATTACAGGAAGAGTGTTAAAATGTGAACTCTTACCTTACTAAATAGGTTAATTATGAGTGCTATTAAAAATGTTATGTGAAAGATTCAAACCTCAGTTTTCTTTGATGCTTAAGATCAGACTCATTTCCTCCATCTGTATTCCCCTTTCTGTGGTGGCCATTATCATAGTTTGTAACAGTAATCATGTGTCTTGATAGGTTTTGTTCTAACAAAATTAATATTTTAATAAAAGTCAAATGTCCTGGTTGAAACCTGCCTGACTGGTTCTGACTTTCAGTAGTGCTTCATCTATTGATGATGGATTACTCTCAACTTTTTAAATAATAACTGAAAGTTATATTGAGGATGGAAGGAAAAAGACTACTTAACTGCAATTCAGTTCTTCCAGTAGAAATTAAAATGGAAAAAAAAACAACTAAAAAAAATCCCACTTCACTGTAAATATTGACAGTGATATCCATTCTGGTAGGTGTCCTTACATAAGAACAAAACAAGAAAAAATATGTATCTTTTAAAAGTGTGTTTAAATTGATGATATACTTCAAATCAATTGTTTAATCACTAGTTTGTTTCTACTTCAGTCCTCTTTAGTCTTAGTTCTTGTGATGTTTTGTTTTCAGATATCAATACTATAAAAAATCAAATAAACAGCTTATTATATGTTGTTAAAGTATGTGATTCAAGAATACAGAGGTTGCAGTCAGGAAAAGTAAGTACTATTTTTCTATTAATACTCTTTCTAATGTTTGTTTTAATTGTAAATGATAATGTGAAATTTTCAAAGACTTGCTAGAAATTGTCACAATATCTCTCTAGTTCATTAAGGGAAAAATATGACTATAGCCCTTGAGCTTATACTGTTTAGTATATATACTGAATATATTGAACTATATACTGAATAATTGTGTAGCTAAAGTTGCACCTTCATACTTTCAACTTTATATGGAAAATTCACCTATCAAAGCTTCTGTTAGAAAATGTTATGTAGTGCTATATTTATAAATATATAGCTATTATGCTACATATAACTATTACATATTTCAGATTTATTTTCAAACCTTTCAAAATCTTGACTGTATTTTTAAATGATCTTGGTTTTAAACACTTCCAATTAGAAAAGAACTGAAGTAAGCTGCATAGCTGACTAATGAAGTTAAGAATTAAGAGAAAACAGTTTCTCTGACACATGAGTTCATCTCCTGGGATTTAGCTTCTCTACATCATCAATTGAATTCCTGCCTCTGATTAGGAAGTTCATGCAGCAAGCAGCTCAGTCTGGAGGCCCTTAGATCAAGTCCCTGTTTTTCAGCTGTAGGAGTTTGTAATGTTGCTTTCTATTTATTGGTAGTAGTGTTCTCTTTTGAAGTACAGTTTGTTGTTCAGACTGTCACTTGTTTAAAAGTACCAATGGTATTTTGCACTGCTTGGAAGTTCTTGTGTATCAGAAATTCATCTGACTTGCTTCCTCTGTTCTAACAGCCTCTCCAGTTGCCACCTAGTCTCCAGCCTGTACTTCTTGTGACGTTTGAAAAACTGTTGGCATTCTTACTGTAGCATATCTGACTTTGTCCTGTTTCTTGGGACTCCATTAGTTGAGCTTTAAGCTTGGATGGGGCATAAAGATGATGTGGGTTGTGCTTATTGACCAACACAGTACCTAACAAGTAAGGCTCTGGTCCATGACTTGGGCCCCTGACACTACTGTAATATAATCAATAAAATAACTAGTGGAAGTCAGATATCAATGCAGACAGATCTATATCATATTGTATATCATGGAGTGCTGATGAATTGACTGCAGAATTTGAGGTTGTCAGATCATTTTTAAGATGGTTCTAATAATTTCTTTAGAAAATATTTCAGAAGGTTGTGATGAACATTTTCTTATCTACACACTTAGTGGCCACTTGTGAACAGTTAGGTTTAAAATACTTGCCCACCGGAATTCTGTGGCAGGGGCAGGGGTAGAATCCAATTCCCCAGAGGGCATGAATCATCTATGCTGTAAACACTGTTACAAGTAATTACACAAACAAAAAATTGTGGCGATAGCAGTGATCCTGTAAACTAGCATTTTAAAAACCAAACCAAACAAACCCCAAACAGTTTGCTGTAGTTAAAGTAAATCTGTTTACATTATATAAACACTTTTTGATAGTAATTTAAAAAATATAAAAAGTTAATAAAAATAATATATTAACTTATCAATGCTGTATCCTATATTGTACAGGAAATAGATACTGTGAAACTGGCAGCAAACTTTGGAAAACTTTGCACAGTCCCTCTGGACAACATTCTGGTAGACAACGTTGCACTACAATTTTTTATGGGTAAGAAAATTCTAACTTTGGGGGGAAAAAAGATTATTTTTTCTGAGGTAAGAACATGCATATGAACTAATACACATTTGTGTCTTGTGCCATAACTATACATGATACTTTTCGGAGAGAATTGAAACTTAGTCTTTGCCATGATGAGTTCAGGTTAAACTGATATTATTCTTAACTTCATACTTCATGTTAAAGTCAGCTTGAAAGAGTTTTCAGACATAGAGATTTAACCACAAGACTGATTCAGTGAATGTTTACAGTGGTGTCACTTAAGTTTCTTTTTGAAAGATTCTATCTGTCTGGAGATTTCTTCCTTTTGAAATAGGAATATTGCTGGCTGGTAATATCTCTTAAATTGAACAAATTTCTTAAATTATGACCACATTGCTTCAGAGATGACTGGTACCTGTTGATAGTGGTGGGGCACAATTTAAAGTTTCTCTCCCACCCCCTCAACAGTTTGAGTCACATCCCCTCTTACCCTTAGTGGCCGCTCCCTGCAACTCCCAGGTGTCTTCTGTTACCTCTCTCTGTGGAGCTGCCACACAGGGAAGGGGCCCAGCCAGTGAAATCTCGGGGGGGGACATGACCCCACATGCACCCCATGTGTCGCCTCTGCATTGCCTCATACTCTAGGTAGTCCTATTGAGACTATTTATGGTAGTATCCCCTGTGCCAGAATTTGGAGGATTGCAAATCCTTGTAAAAGGTGCCAAAAATGTCCTTTGTTTAAAGAAACTTTTTAAAAAGCATTAGTTTTAATATCTCTAAAATGTATTCATATGCAAGAATAAGAATGTCTGTCTTTAGATTGTTGGCATGTTCAGTAAATTACAAAATTGATAGAGGAGTGAAGTTCATTTACAAGTTTCACATAATGTCAGTTTATTCTGTTGTGCCCTGATATTGCAAGGATTAAATAAAAGTTAACTTTTAGACTTCTGTGAAGGGACCCAATCTTACCTCAGGTTCAATTTCGTCTTGGCTCCTACCATGCTGCGCACAGTCCCTATTATATCTCATATGGCTGTGGCTACAATTAAGATGTGATGTGCTCATTTTTTAATATAAAACACAGCCCTAGGTCTATACTTTCCTCCAGACTTGGCTTTTTGATGAAGTCTTATGAGTATCCCATAGGGCGTTGGGGGGCGTTTCTTACAGTGACTCTGAGTGTCAATGTTATAGTCTTATCCAAAACCATAATCAAATCCTGAAGCTTATTCCTAATTTAGTTAATGTTTCTGACCTAGCCGTTTTTTACATCAGGATGCGTGAGTTCTTAAGATGTGTTTTTATCCTAACAGGTATAATTACAATAATGATTGATTTTGTAGATTACATGCAGCAGACTGGAGGCCAAGCACATCTCTTCTTCTGGATGACAGTGGAAGGGTACAGGGTTACAGCACAGCAACAGCTGGAGGTATTACTAAGCCGGCAGAGAGATGGAAAACATCAGACTAATCAAACCAAAGGCCTATTAAGAGCAGCTGCAGTTGGAATTTATGAGCAGTACTTATCAGAGAAGGTAGGAATATTCTTTTTGAAATAATTTACTAATTTTTGAATTGGTAAGTATTTGTGGAATGTTTTTTTTTAAAAGTACACTGCAGTGTCAGAACTCTTAGTTAAATTTAGAGCAATCAGAAGCTAACTTCTTGTGAAATAGATTTGGTAAAAAACTTGTTACAAGAAAACAGATATGTTGCAGTTGATACCTGAATGATTTCACTTGCATCAAGTGTAGGGTAAATACACCTCTACCCCGATATAAAGCGACCAGATATAACATGAATTCGGATATAACGCGGTAAAGCAGCGCTCCGGGGAGGCGGGGCTGTGCACTCCAGCGGATCAAAGCAAGTTCAATATAACGCGGTTTCACCTATAATGTGGTAAGATTTTTTTGGCTCCCAAGGACAGCGTTCTGTCAGGGTAGAGGTGTAGTTCCTGCTAGTAGGTCTGTAAAGGGATGCTGGCATCAGCGCTGATGACTGCCTGTCCTGTAAAACGCAATTCATATAAGGTACTCAAAAGTTGGTTGACTTAGATGAAGAAAAACAAATTGAAAACCTTAAAGCCGGCATCCTCTGCTCATTCGAGCTCCACCCATAACCAACTAGGTGGTAAGCAAGCATTTTGAGGGTGACATAGCCTGTGTCCTGCTCCCCTGTTATTTTCCAACCGTCTGTCCCCCTTCTTCCCTGCCTGGGCCTCTATAACATTGGACCAGTGGGTCATCAGCACAGTAGCAGGGGGATATACTCTCCAGTTTATTTCTATCCCTTCCTCCCACCCTCCCTCTTCAGGGACCCTTCTCATGAGCATCTGCTCGTTCGGGAGGTGCAAGGCCTTCTGTAGGTGGGAGCCGTCGAAGTCCCACTGCATTTAAGGGGCAAGGAGTTTTACACCCACTACTTTTGATGCCAAAGGGGAGTCTATGGCCCATCCTCAACCTGCGGAACCTCAACAAGTATCTCAAGAAGTTGAAGTTTCGCATGATCTCCCTGACCTCCATCATTCCTTCCCTGGATCCAGGAGACTGGTATGCCACCCTCAATTTGAAAGAAGCTTACTTTCACATATCGATATTCCATGCTCACAGATGGTTCCTACGTTTCATAGTTGGGACCGCCCACTACCAATTTGCGGTGTTCCCATTTGGCCTGGAAACAGCACCAAGCGTGTTTATGAAATGTGTGTCAGTGGTGGTGGCCTACCTCAGGCGTTGTGGTATCCAGCTTTACCCATACCTTGACGATTGGCTCATCAAGGGCCACTCCAGGGCCTAAGTCTAACACAGCATTGAAATGCTGCAAGCCATTTGTCGGGCTCTGGGCAACAAACAAACGAACAAAAATCAACTTTAGTCCTGGTCCAATGGATAGAGTTTATCAGGGCGGTACTCAACTCTACCGAGCCAGAGCGTTTCTGCCAGAGGCCAGGTTCAAGGCAATGTCTCATCTAATTGCCAGTGTCACAGCACATCCACTCACTGTGGCCCGGGTCTGTCTCAGACTATTGGGTCACATGGCAGCATGCACTTATGTTGTCCGCCATGCGAAGCTCAGACTGCACCCCCTTCAAATGTGGCTAGCGGCAGTCTACTCCCTGGCCAGACATCACCTCCCTTTAGTTCCTACCCCTCATCAAGGGCAAATCCATTAGAAACTTGATGGACAACATGGCTTGCATGTTCTAGATCAACAAACGGAAGATCAAGATCGCCTCCCTGTGCACTGAAGTTGTAATATTATGGAACTGGGGTATAGCCCATCAGATTCAGATATCATCCATTTACCTTCCTGGAATCCAGAATGTCCCTGACAATATGCTCAGCAGATGCTTCTCTCAGCACTATGAATGGGAGTTGGACTCTCAAATCCTTCTTGGGATATCCAGAAGTGGGGACTTCCACAGGTGACTTATTCACCACATCCAGCAACAGGAAGTGCCCCTTTTTCAATAGAAGGCATGGATTTGCCTCTCTTTGGGAGAAGCATTTTTCCTTCTTTGGATAAAGGGCTTGTTCTACATTCCCTCCAACACCACTAATTCTAAGAACGATGAACAAGGTTAGGCAGGAGTCCTCCATCTCCAAGCATGGTTCCTAGAAGGTTCACGGGAATAGAATCCACCTGGTTGACAGGAGTAGAACAAGTATTACTAAACATTAGAAGGGAGTCAACTTGAATTACTTACTTTCAGAAATGGAAAAGGTTCAACCACGGATGTCACCATCACCACCATATCCCTGAATCTTCTCTGCTCTCAGCCATCTTGGATTATCTGCTGGAGTTAAAGACAACCAGGTTTATCAGCTCTATTAAGTTCATCTTGCACAATATCAGCATTTCATTCCCCGCTAGAGGGGTTTTCTATTTTTGATCACCCTATGTTCTTGAGACTTATTAAGAATCTGGGGAATCTTTACCCTCAGGTTAAGGATACTACTGACTTGATCTCAGCCTGGTACTTAGATACATTATGGAGCCTCCGTTTTAACCTATGTCAACCTACTCCTTGCTTCACGTATATTTGAAGACACCCTTCCCAGAAGCTATCACGTCAGCTCGCAGGGTTGGAGAAATTGGAGCCTTGATGGCAGACAGCCCACTTGTATTATTCAAGGACAACGTCTCCCTATGACCTATCCAAAGTTCTTTCTTAAGGTGCTGTTTGATTTCCATCTTAACCAGTCTATTAATCTACTATTATTTTTTCCTAAACCACATAAATCTCAGCAGGAGACATCCCTTCATACATTAGATGTAGGCTGGGCTTTGGCTTTTTATCGGGATAGGACCAAAAAATCACCTAAATTTTGTCTGCATCACAGAAAGATCGAATGCAACTTCCACATTTTTACTCAAAAACATTTCCGTGTCTGAGATATGCAGATATATCTCTGTGAGGATACAGCTCAGGAGTCACCTGAAATGGAGCACCCATAGGTATTCTACTTGAAGAAGAAAAGGTTAGACACTCTTTGTAGTGTAACTCTGGTTCTTCAAGATGATTGACCTTGTGGGTGCTCCACTACCCACCCTCTTTCCCCTCTGCTTTGGACTGTTCTTGTTGGATGTTCAGATAGAGAAGGACCTGAGGGTGGTTCACCCACGCAGCCTATATACCCTTGAAGTGCGGCATGAGGTTGTGTATACTGCATGCATGGACTGAATGGACATTGCTAACAAAAAATCTCCAATCAAGGGCTTGAGGCACCTGGGCACCTAAAGTGGAGCACCCATTGAGGGAGGGAGAAGGACACATCTTGAAGAACCAGTTACTGCACAATTATCTTTCTGTACCCAGACAGATAATGGAGCAAATAATTAAGAAATCAATTTGTAAACATCTAGAATATAATACGGTGATAAGTAACCATCAGCATGGATTTCTCAAGAACAAATCATGTGAAACCAATCTGATAGCTTTCCTTGACAGGGTAACAAGCCTTGTGGATGGGGGGAAGCAGTAGACGTGGTATATCTTGACTTTAGTTAAGCTTTGATACTGTCTCACATGACCTTCTCATAAACAAACTAGGGAAATACAAACTAGATGGAGATACTATAAGGTGGGTGCAAAACGGGCTGGAAAACCATTCCCAGAGAATAATCATCAGTGGTCCACTGTCATGGTGGAAGGGCATAATGAGTGGGGTCCCACAGGGATCAGTTCTCGGTCTGGTTCTATTCAATATCTTCGTCAATGATTTAGATAATGGCATAGAGAGTACACCTATAAAGTTTGCGGACGATACCAAGCTGGGAGGGGTTGCAAGTGCTTTGGAGGATAGGATTATAATTCGGAATAATCTGGAGAAATGGTCTGAAGTAAATAGAATGAAATTCAATAAGGATAAATGCAAAGCACTCCACTTAGGAAGGAACAGTCAGTTGCACACATACAAAATGGGAAATGACTGCCTAGGAAGAAGTACTGAGGAAAGAGATCTGGGGATCGTAGTGGACCACAAGCTAAATGAGAGTCAACAGTGTAACACTGTTGCAAGAAAAGTGAACATCATTCTGGGATATATTAGCAGGAGTGTTGTAAGCAAGACAGGAGAAGTAATTCTTCCGCTCTACTCTGCGCTGATTAGGCTTCAACTGGAGTATTGTGTCCAATTCTGGGCACCACATTTCAGAAAAGATGTGGACAAATTGGAGAAAGAGCAACAAAAATGTTTAAAGGTCTAGAAAACACGACCTATGTGGGAAGATTGGAAAAACTGGGTTTGTTTAGTCCGGAAAAGAGAAGACTGAGAAGGGACACGATAACAGTTTTCAAGTATGTAAAAGGTTGTTACAAGGAGGAGGGAGAAAAATTGTTGTTAACCTCTGAGGATAGGACAAGAAGCAATGGGCTTAAATTGCAGCAAAGAAGGTTTAGGTTGGACATTAGAAAAAACTTCCTAACTGTCCAGGTGGTTAAGCACTGGAATAAATTGCCTAAGGAGGTTGTGGAATCTCCATCATTGGAGATTTTTAAGAGCAGGTGTCAAGGCTGATTCTCCACCCTGGCACTTCGAGTGCTGAAAGTGGGGGCCCACAAGGATTTTAAAAATTAATATTTGCCACTCCAGGCTTGTATTAAACTCCCAAGGCTACAGCTTCTCTCTGACCTTGGCTTGATAAATGCTGCCACCACCCAAATGCAAAACCCCTTTTGGAACCCAGGAAGACGCACTTGGGAATTCCTTTCTGTGGGGTACCCTCAAGCCCTTTCACCCCCACTCCAGGGAAGAGCTGAGAAAGAAAACAAAGGAAATTAGCTGTTGCCACCAGCTAATTAAATAACATATGCACAAATCTCTTAGGACACCAAAAATCCAATCCTGTTCTTAAAAAAGGTAAATTTTATTAAAAACAATAAGAAAGAAAAATACATCTGGAACTTAGGCTTTTGCTAGCTTTTAAAAGAGCAGTTCCAAAAATCAAGCACCCAAAATAGCTTTCTTGGGGTTCAACTTAACGGTTACAAGCAAACAAAAGCATCTGGGTTTAGCACAGAGGATTCCATAAGCCAATAAGAAATAACCCTACTCGTGTCTTTCTAGACCTTCCCTAATTTACTTACATATCTGAGGCTTCAGGTAAGTAGGTTCAAGGTATGAATCGATAATCTATAATCATACCTGGCTTAAAGCTGTTTACACCATTGCTGCTCTGTGTCTCCGCTCTCCGGAGCACCACAAAACCCAGACAAAGGGAAGTTTTTTCCCAATTTTAAAAAGTTCTAGCCCTCCCATTGGCTCTTTTGGTCAGGTGCCCACTCCATTTCCTTTACCTGGGGGGCCTTTGTTAACCCTTTACACGTAAAGCAAGCCAAGAACAGCCACCAAGAGGGACTTTATAGCTAGCTGGCTGGCTGGGTGTCCATAAAAGCTCCCCCCTTCCCTTCATTTATCACAGCAGGTTAGACAAATACCTGTCAGGAATGATCTAGATAATACTTAGTCCTGCCATGAATGCTAGATGACCTCTCAAGGTCCCTTCCAGTCCTATGATTCTATGAGTAAACTTTTCTTATGTGCTTCTAAAATTCACTCACCCTGTCTCACACAGATGTCTTCAACAAATTTCTATCCAAATCTTTTATGTAATATTTCTTTATCAGCACATTTTCCCTTCAGTTATATAATGAGTCTTTCACTTGTTTTAAATACATACCAGGTTGGTGTTGACCAGAAATTGTTGTCTTTTGAAGCTGATTGGTGGGCAGATACGGTTTGGTAGCTGTAGTCCAGGTTGGATACACACAAAAAATACCTCTGTCATAATTAGAACCCTTCTATGTAGAAATCAACGATTGAATTGACTTGCAGACTGATAGTCTTTCTCCTGGGTTCCTTCAGAGGTGAGACACATTTTCTCTATGGAGTATATTTATATTCTTGTTGACCATGTTGTACAATAATTATTAAGAAGACTTCAGTTTCCTGTATCCTCCAACTGGGATATTTCACAAACAGCAAATTCACAAAACACATGAAAACAAATATGTATTATTTAAATTTTTTTAAAGTATGCCTTTGTATTACTTTACTTTTTACAAAAACAGTTTGAAAGCATTCAAATGTATTCTTGAGATGATTCTCCACATTTAATACTGGATAATAATTCAGAAAATTTCACGATACATGAATGAAGATATTGAGAGGAATTTGAACGATCTGTTCTCCCCCTTAGAATCATAGACTCATAGGACTGGAAGAGACGTCAAGAGGTCATCTAGTCCAGTCCCCTGCACTCATGGCAGGACTAAGTATTATGTAGACCATCCCTGAAAGATGTTTGTCCCACCTGCTCTTAAAAATCTCCAATGAGAGAGATTCCACAACCTCTCTAGGCAATTTATTCCAGTGCTTAACCACCCTGACAGTTAGGAAGACTGTATCAAAAGCTTTAATAAAGTCAAGATATACCACATCTACTACTTCCCCCACATCCACAAGGCTTGTTACCCTGTCAAAGAAAGCTATCAGGTTGGTTTGACACAATTTTTTCTTGACAAATTCATGCTGTTACTTAATCACCTTATTATCTTCTAGGTGTTTGCAAATTGATTTCTTAATTATTTGCTCCATTATCTTTCCGGGTACAGAAGTTAAGCTGACAGGTCTGTAATTCCCCGGGTTGTGCTTATTTCCCTTTTTATAGATTGGCACTATATTTGCCCTTTTCCAGTCTTCTGGAATCTCTCCTGTCTTCCATGACTTTTCAAAGATAATCGCTAATGGCTCAGATGTCTCCTCAGTCAGCTCCTTGAGTATTCTAGGATGCATTTCATCAGGGCCTGGCAACTTGAAGACATCTAACTTGTTAAAGTAATTTTTAACTTTCCCCCCTATTTTAGCCACTGATCCTAGCTCATTTTCACTGGCATTCACTTTGTTTAGATGTCCAATCTCCACCAACCTTCTTAGTGAAAACTGAAACGAAGTCATTATGCACCTCTGCCATTTCCACATTTTCTGTTCTTGTTTTCCCTCCCTCATTGAGTAATGGGCCTACTCTGTCCTTGGCCTTCCTCTTGCTTCTAATGTATTTGTAGTGTTTTCTTGTTACCCTTTATTTCTCTAGCTAGTTTGATCTAGTTTTGTGCCTTGGCCTTTCTAATTTTGTCCCAACATACGTGAGTTATTTGTTTATATTCATCCTTTGTAATTTGACCCTAGTTTCCACTTTTTGTAGGACTTTTTTTTTTTTTTTTTTTTTTTTAAAGATAATTGAAAGTCTCCTGGTTAAGCCAGAGTGGTCTCTTGCCATACTTCCTATCTTTCCTACACAGTGGGATAGTTTGCTCTTGTGCCCTTAATAATGTTTCTTTGGAAAAACTGCCAACTGTCTTCAATTGTTTTTTTCCCCTTAAACTTGTTTTCCAAGGGATCTTATCTACCAACTCCCTGAGTTTGCTAATGTCTGCCTTCCTAAAATCCATTGTCTTTATTTTGAATCTAGAACAGCCTCTCCCCTATTAGCTTTCTCTACCTTCTGAAATAAAAAATTGTCTCCAATACATTCCAAGAACCTGTTGGATAATCTGTACCCTGCTGTGTGATTTTTCCCAACAGATATCTGGGTACTTGAAGTTCCCCATTACCACCAAGTCCTGTGCTTTGGATGATTTTGCTAGCTTAAAAAAAGCCTCATCTACCTCTTCATGCTGGCTAGGTGGTCTGTAGTAGACCCCTGCCATGACATCACCCTTGCTTTTTCCCCTTTTATTCTTACCCAGAGGTTTCAACCAGTTTGTCTCCTCTTTCCGTCTCAACCTCAATCTGATTGTGTACATTTTTGATATATAAGGCAACACCTCCTCCCTTTTTTTCCCCTACCTGTCCTTCCTGAGCAAGCTGTACCCTTCTATACCAATATTCCAGTCATGAGTATTCTCCCACCAAGTCAGATGCCAACTATGTCATAGTTGTGTTTATTTAATAGCATTTCAAGTTCTTCCTGCTTATTCCCCATACTTCTCGCATTAGTATAGAAACCTTTAAGATACTGATTTGATTTCTCTCCCGCCCCTCAGTTCTGTCTTGGCTCCACCTTATCCCTGTTATAACAACCCATGCTCCCCCCAAATACGACCCTTCTCCCAAGTCTCCATGTTTTTGACTTGCCTGTGGGCTTTGGTCACCTGCCCCCTTCAAACCTAGTTTAAAGCCCTCCTCACTGGGTTAGCCAGTCTGTATCCAAATATGCTCTTGCCTTTCTTGATAGGCGGACCCCATCTCTGCTTAGCAGTCCTTCTTCCTGGAACAGCATCCCGTGGTCAAGGAAGCCGGAGCCCTCCTGGCAACACCATCCATGCTGCCAGGCATTCAACTCTAGGATGCATCTGCCTCTGCCTGGGCCCCTACCCTTGACCAGAAAGATCGAAGAGAACACCCCTGTGCTCCCTACTCCTTCACTCTTAGTCCCAGAGCCCTGTAGTCACTCCTGATCTGCAGAGGGTCGTACCTCGCAGTATCATTAGTGTCCACATGGATGAGTAGCATGGGGTTCTAGTCAGAGGGCTGGATGATCCTCGACAATCCCTCTGTAACGTCTCAGATACAGGCCCCTGGCAGGCAGCATGCTATGTCAGGGTGACAGATGGATGCCTCCGTCCCCCTCAGAAGAGAGTCACCAACCATCACTACCCTACGTTTCCCCTGGGAATGGTGGCTGCAATCCTCCCAGCCTTGGGGTACATGGCTCTCCTCTTCAATCTTTTGGGGGTGATTCCTCATTGCTCATTGCCAGGGCACCATAATGGTTTCCCATCACCATGGTGGGTGGGTTGGTAGTTGGGGTGGAGCACTCCCTGCTGCCAGAGGTAACCAGCTACAGAGGACTGCTGTCACACCACCAGGTGAGGAGGATATGGCTCTGTCACAGGGAGGACACTGGCAGCTTCCTCAGCCTTGGATGTCTCCATATGACTACTCTCAAGGAATTGCTCATGGGCATGAATGCTCCTCAGCCTAGCCACCTCCTAATGTAGCTCTCCTGCTTCCTGAGAGATTCCACCAGCAGGCACCTTTCACACTGGATGGTTCCCCCCCAGTCTGACTTTCTGAGAGTGGGAAATGCAGGCCACAGTCTCTGCAAATCCACACCAGGATCTAAGTAGAGGCATCAATGGTTAGGCTGTCTGTCTGGGTACAAGCACAGGTGGAGGAGACAGGAGCAGCGTTGGCACTGGCGATGCAGCCCTTCCTAACCATAGCGATTATATTCCGTCTTCCTCCCACAAACCTCCCTCTCAAACTCCTCTCTTTGTGATCCCCTTGATTCATATAACTCTCGTTAACTGAATAGCAGCTGTATGCACAGGGCATTTTTAGGTTTGATTTCAATAACTGTTGCAGAGTTATTACTTTGTGTGTTTCTTATTTATAGCCCTATTTTGTATTAAGGCTGGGGTTTAATTTTTTCAAATGGAGTGGTGTTGGTTTTTTTAAGTTAAACCCTACACACATTGATTTAGATCTCTGTGACAGGCATCTCCAAGAGTTAATATTGATGACTCCTTGGTAGCAAAACTGGCAGAAACATTGAACCACGAGGAACCAACACCTGAAATCTTCGATGACATTCAGAGAAAGGTATAACATATTCACTCTTTATTTAACAGGAATTATTGAGACTCATTACAGCAAGGTGGATTGATTTAAATCAAAATGATTTAAATTGCTGAATTTAATAATGATTTAAATCAGCAAGCAGGAAACCTTGATTTAAATAGTTGATGTTAGTCATGTTTTGCATTTGTATTTTTTAGTTAAGATGAAAACAACAAAAAACCACTTTGTTTCTTATTTGTGATAACCATTAAAACATATGGACTTGCAATTGAATATAGCCTTCACACTAAACTTGGTGGTACTTGTTACTAACCAGGAAGATATAATATATCTATACTCATTTAAGTAGCTATGTAGCTTGACTTGCATTTATTCAAATTCTTAATTTGCGTGTGAGAGATGTTGTGTTCACATAAACAATTTGTCATGCACATTTTAATAAAAATGTGTGTTTAGAAACTTATGTTAATTATTAGCTTTGGTAATCTTTTTTTATTGTTAGAAAATGGTGAATGATTCATTTTTATTAATAAATTTTATTTCCTGTGGTTTTGTCAAAACAGCATTTTAATTTGAAGAATTAAATAAAGCTACCTTAAATATGCTGGATACATAAAAGTTGATCAAAAACTGATATATTAAAGGAAATATTATCTGTAGTTAGTGAATTGAACTGATTGTTTCTGGTCACCATGTCCTTCAAGATTTTAGAACTGGGTTAGCTTCATCCTCTTGGACCTAGTTTTTTATTCATAGAATAGAAGAAGAAAACAAGCATTCCTGCTTTTTCAAATCCCAATTGGTTTCTTAACTTTGAATGGATTAGTCATTGAACTGAAGTAGTTGAATAATCTGACATGAAGAAAATATTCTTTCTACCCCTGCAGAAGAAGCTAGTGCTGTCAAAAGCTGGTTTAGCCCTTCATTAAAGGCTGGTTCCAGGTGCTTAACTAGTGACTTCCACCTGTTCAGGGGTTTGACTTTCTTTACAACTGGGTGGCAAACATACTGATTAATACTTATTTTTGTATTTAATTTAAATGATTTTAATAGATTATAATAAATTTAGGCCTTAATATAGGCTATCAAATTCAAATTTAATTTTGAATAACTTTATTTGATTAAATAAGTCTGTAATTTAATTTAAATTAAAAAAATCATAGATTTTTATTCCCTCCTTACCTCCCCCCCCCCTTCTACCAGATTTATTGGCAACAATCAAACTTTTCTTCAATTTTAGATTAGTCATCCTATGCTGTTTTACAGTTCCAGTACACAGACCTCATAACTAGTTCATTGTTTTAAAAGCAAGTGGGGAAAAAAGATGTACATATGATAGTAATTTTTTGGCATTGTTATAATTAGGGTGATATTGATATCTGTGTGTTAAAGCTCCAGTTTAGGAAAGCATCCTTATTGAGGACCCATTTAAACATGTGCTTAAGTCCCACTACTTTTAATAATATCATCAAGGTAAGGATGGGTTAGTATATTTTTGTTCCTGAGCTAGGACATTTTTAGGCAAGTTTTTTTTTTTTTGCAAGTACACCTCTATCCCGATATAACACGAATTCTGATATAACTCGGTAAAGCAGTGCTCCGGCAGGGCGGGGCTGCACACTCCAGCAGATCAAAGCAAGTTTGATATAACGTGGTTTCACCTATAACGTGGTAAGATTTTTTGGCTCCCGAGGACAGCGTTGTATTGAGGTAGAGGTGTATGTTGCTATTGCAATGAATAACTTCCAGAAATGCTGTTAAAATATTAGGGCGCTATTAGATGTGAAAAAAGGTAAAATATATCTACAACAAAGGGGGAGACATTTTTTAATCTTTTTACTGGTAAGCAAGATTTTGTCTGGTTGAGCAGATATTCTCTATACTTTCAAAGGGCAATATTATTAGAACCAGTAATATCACACCTTGTTTTAAAAGTGCATTGTTAACTGTGCTTCACGTGAACCAAAGCATATTTATAATACAGCAACAGGATTTAAAGAAAACCCCCAAAAAGGGAGTGCGTGTGAGAGATGTTGTGTTCACATAAACAATTTGTCATGCACATTTTAATAAAAATGTGTGTTTAGAAACTTATGTTAATTATTAGCTTTGGTAATCTTGGTATTTTAAATCAATAAGGTGTATGACTTGATGCTGCGGGATGAAAGATTTTACCCTTCATTCAAACAAAATGCTCTGTATGTGCGCATGTTAGCTGAACTGGATATGCTGAAGGATCCTAGTTTCAGAGGATCAGATGATGGGGAAGGCGGTAAGGTCATGAACAATTACTTTTCCTTTTTAGCCTTGTATTTCCACTTAAATATTAAGCAGTCAAGCAATCAGAATTTTCAGTCTGACTTTTCAAATTATAAATGTATATTGGTTTGCTGTATTTCCTTCCCACATTCCGTTCTACATGGTCACCATGTCCTTCAAGCTTTTAGAACTAGTTAAAGCTCATTCTCTTGGACTTGTTTTTTTATTGATAGAATAGAAGAGAAAAACAAGCATTCCTACTATATGTGGAGTTCTGAAAGAGTTACACATTTTATTTAACTTTACTAACTGATGTTAAACAGTATTTAGATTCATTTTATTAAATTAAATGTACACAGTATGTCACAGATGCTAAACTTCTAGATAAATTGTAATCCAGTTATTGGTATATATTTAATAGCTATCTTTATCACTAATCCTTGTGATGAACTGAAGCTTGAGATTTTTACATTTAGATTCCTGATTTAGCTGATTTTATATAAAGCTGAGTGAAAACTTTCCCACTAGAGGCACTGAGTAAAATAAATATATAGCTTTAGCTCAGATTTTCTCCAGATACGTTGCATGAAGGGAAGTGATGAAGTTTGCCAACTCACTTCCAAATGTAATCTCTATTGTGATGTCATTATGTCCTGACATATTAAGCAATATGGCTCATTTTATGAAAGTGTGTACACTGTTGTGCACATGAGTACACATGCATTATGTGTGTACCACTTATTTGTGAGTATAAAATGAAAATGCATGAGATGAGTGTTCTGAAGGCTCTCTAAAAATTTAAAAATGATCACTACTATAGCCACTTCTAAACAGAAAGTGCTAGATTCCATTGAGGAATAAAGGTCTTAATTCAATAACTAGTTAAAATCTTAGTTTTTATAGCTTCAGGCCATTGTTCCTCATCTCTGTATCATCTGGCCTGGGAATAGCTCCCTTTTTTATTTTATATTTTTATCTCAGACTATGATCCTGTTTCCTGAGTTGTCTTTTTCTAGATTATACAGATTTAGCCCCGTTTTTCTCTTATGACTTATACAAAATGATACAGGGTTTGAGGATAACTAAACTTATATCACATTTGATCCTTACCAATATAATGGAGGCTTTTAAAAAAAACCAATCTAGATGCTAAAATGTATATACATATAAACAAAGTAGAGAAACAGCTGAAGATGAAAGATGTAATTATTGTGTACTTTTATGCCCTCTAGTGATGTTCTCTAGCAACATCTATAGAAGAACAAACAGGTCTCCAATTTAATGTCATCATTTATACTTCTCCCAAAATAGTTTTTCACTACAATATATTGTCCAATGTTTGTCCAGTTTTAAATAGCTCAGTTGACGGGGCTTTCCCGATTGTCTTTGAGAAGGTCGTGTCAGTCAAACACAACCCAGGGTATTCTGTCAACTTTTCTGCTTCATCCCCAAACTATTTGACATACCTTTATATCTACCCATTATTGTGATTTAGAGTTTTCATGTTTATTATATCCTTTTTAGTTATTTGACCCAGCTTCACAATCTAGTTCTTACAATTCATATTAGTAACTCTGTTCCATTAATAATTTTGTTTCCTCAGAATTCTCTTCTGTTTGTGGACATCCCTCTATTATTGAAATGCTCCATGAATGAATGTAGTGTTCTAGGTGTTGTCTCACAGTGCCTTATAAACAAGGAACTATGTTATCTCCAAATTTGATATTGAATGCAGTTTTGCTAGCATTTATTCTTTATTTTGATATTTCTCATTATTTTGTATTAATAAAAAATAGTGATAAAATTGATTACCACATCTTAGTTCCATTCATGAGAGAAATTGGACAATACCATTTTTTCTATGGTTCCAGAATAAAATTCTTTATTTTAAAATCTTTGTTTCTTTGTAGGCTCTAGAATGATGAATAGATTACAGAAATTTCCTTTAACTGATGTCCTGATATTGTTTTGGCATTCATTGAATCACATTCCATGTTTGGTTTTTGCTGCTAGCCGACTGTTTGTCCAGATATTTCATAATGAAAGCCAATTCGTGGCTTTCTCATGGTACAAACAAGGTGGCTTTTTTGTCCTTTTATGATGAGGCAAGAATAACAAAGTAAAGAAGAGCTAACATTTCCTTGTAGACATGAGTGTGGGACTTCCTTTGTGTGTATGCTAGCCCCAAACAAAATCCTTTGTTGATGGGATGTGCACTGAGAAACTTTAAGCAAACATAGTTTTTACATGAAATAAATAGCAGGTTAATGCAATTTTCAAACACATGCCATAACAACCAAACATCACACGAATCCAAGTGCGTTTGGCTATTTATGTTCATGATAAAATCCCTTGCACTTCTAACATATAACCAACCACAAATGTGTATGCCAAAGGGTGGCTATAGAGAGGGTGTGATGATGTGTGTGTGGGGAGAGGGGATGGCAGGTAAGTGAGGAATGGGGGAATTTCGGCTTTATGTATGAAGAGGGGGAAGTGGTGCTTTATGTTGGGTGACAGGTAAAGGATGAAAAGGGAAGAGGAATTCTGAGGTCAGGTCTACACTACAAACTTACATTGGTATAATTATGTTGCTCAATGTTGTGAAAAATCCACACCCAGAAGCGATGAAATTATACCAACCTAACCCCCGGCGTAGACAGCGCTATATCATTGGGAGACATAATTACTGCCTCTCGCAGAGGTGGAGTAATTACGCTGATGGGAGAAGCTCTCCTATCAGCACAGTGGCATCTTCACTGAAGCGCTACAGCGGTGCAGCAGTGCTGCTACATGTAAGTGTAGATCTGTCCTGAGCAACTACTGGATAGTTGAGCAAAGTTTCTCTCTGCATCCCCCACCCCTGCCAGTACTTCTATGTGCTGTTGTGTGGTGTACCTGGGGAGCTGACCTGGGTTTGTGAGCATATGGGAGGATGGGGGTTGGGAGGAATGGATCGGGAAATTGGGGACTTAAAGGATAGCCTTCAGCCCCCCAGCAAGCTGTTTCCTTGCTTTGTGCTACCCTTGTAAGAATGATGGCCAGATGCATAGGGAACTGGACTGGAACATGGGAGACTAAGGTTTGGTTCCTGGCTCAACCACAGACTTCCTTTTGAGACCTTGGGCAAGTCACTGAGGGCTTGACTATACAAACAATTAGTGAGTGATAAGCTGGGGTGTAAATCTACCATAGCCTGCTGCCATTTGATCTACTGCCATTTCAAAACAGAACTTTTAGTGTGTGGTAGCAAGGTCCAATTGGACAATTAGCATGCAGCAGGCTAGTGCAAGGTAGTTTTACAACGCAACTGGTCATGCACTAACTGTTTGTAGAGAAAAGCAGCTCTGTTGTCCCAAGTAAAGTTAGTATGTTATGTTTGGAGACTAAATTCAATAGTTAATGTAAAATATATAGGGATTTTAGTCAAACGTAAGGTTACTTTCATATTTGCACTTTTAATGCTTGAGCATCTATGATGACTCCATGTGATACCCTGAACCTAAAATCACAAATTGTTCTGTAGTGTATGAATACTCTGTTCTTTTCTAGCTGCAGGTGCACACACATTTTCATTTAGATGTTGTGGTTGGAACCTTTAGGAGCTTAGACACTTGGAATTGGGTGTGTGCCACAAATTATTTATTTTTCTTTAATGTTTTGTTGTGTTTCAGCTGAGATCATTTTATTTCTATTGCATGACTCTTAGATGCAGCAACAGTTTAGAAAGTATTTTCTGAATTCTAAATTGATTTTTTTCCTGCAGAATCTTTTAATGGGTCCCCTACAAGCAGCATAAATTTGGTAAGTGCCTTGGGCTTTTTTCAACATTATAGAAGCCTTATAAAATAGTTTAAAGTATGTAGACATGAGGGTTTTGATTTTACTGCAGTTGCTTTTCTGAAAACATAAGCCTACATTTCTGTTGAACTGATTAAGCAAACCTAAAACTGTTCATTTATCCACAGAATACAGATTTACTTTTCAGCCCTTTCCCTGTGTTTTAAAACATGTACAATTTATTATTCTGTCTCTCATGGAAATGGGACACATTCATCTACAATTATTTTAATTTATGTAGAAACATACATTCATTCCTAAATGATTTCTTAAGTAGGTATGAGCTTAGGTGAAAAGGAAATACCTTTTACATTGATGGAGCACCTTGAAACCATGCAAATCTACAAGGAATAACTTTTTGAAAAATAATACACCTATGAAATTGTAAGGTTGCTAGAGATGATTAGCTTTCAAGATATGGCTTGAACAAATTTAGAAGTTTGTAAATGAAATTCTAAATTCTGATTTACATTAGTTATACAAATAATTGTTCAAAATATATAAATATCAATCTTGCAGATTTCAGTAGTTTCCTTTTAGAATAAAAGTTTTGAAATAGCTAATCAGAACTGAAGAATCAGTTTAATTATTTGACTCCTCTGTAATTTTTAATAAATATTTGTAGCCATAAAGTTTGTATGTGTTCTAAGCTGCAGCACATGAAAGCTTATGCTGAAATAAATTTGTTAGTCTCTAAGGTGCCGCAAGTACTCCTGTTCTTTTTGCGGATACAGACTAACATGGCTGCTACTTTGAAACACATATGTGAAGGTAATAGTTATGTGATAAACTTGTTTATCATACACTTTTGAGCCCCTTACCTGCCCTTTTGCCACTAATTTTTTCCAACAGGACTTATTCTAACATTCCAAATCCCTAAGCACATTCCACAGCCATTTAAAAAAAAAATCAGCCTGCCCAAGTATGCTTCCTCCTTTTCCTCTCTGTGTGTTCCCCTAAATTACAGCTGGCTGAGGCCCAAGCAAGATTCAGCTGTGCTCCTATGACCGTTTTCTGTACGTAAGTGTGGTGACTTTGGGTAGGTCTACACTTACCTCCGGGTCCGGCGGTAAGCAATCGATCTTCTGGGATCAATTTATCGCGTCTTGTCTAGACACGATAAATCGATCCCGGATCGATCCCGGAAGTGCTCGCCGTCAACGCCGGTACTCCAGCTCGGCGAGAGGAGTATGCGGCATCAACGGGGGAGCCTGCCTCCCGCGTCTGGACCCGCGGTAAGTTCAAGCTAAGGTACTTCGAATTCAGCTACGTTAATAATTGCGTACCTTAGTTCGAAGTGGGGGGTTAGTGTGGACCAGGCCTTTGAAGCCCATCTCTGTTCTCAAGGAAAGAGATGGGAACCTTATACACTGGGGCTCAGCCCTTACTTCAAGTCTAGAAAGGTCTGAAATCTGAATTTGAAGGCATTACTTTTCATGGCTAGCAAATGTTCTAGGTTGTTCTTTAGGGAAGTTTTTGACTGAGTCTCTACAGTGTGATTCATCATAACCTAGTTACCTGGCTATAAAGGCAGAGGGATACAAACACTAGTCCTCACAATTAACTTGACAGCTAGTCAGTTTTAAAAAATGAATTGAAAGTAGTTTATCGTTCTACATGTATCTTGGAGTTCCCCTGCCAATTTTTGTGGTTTTGCAATCATATTTTCTTTTTCTTCTCATCTGTTATGTAAAACACACAAAAACAGGGGAAACTGACTAATCAACTGTTAAAAGGAAATGGTCTATATATAATCGATATCAAACACACAAAATAAAAACTAGAGAAAAATAATCCAGCTGAAGTAATTTTACTGTAGCAAGTACAGTGTAGGTTATAAAATTTCACACAACTATGATTTCTATATTGATTCTTTAAAAAAAATAAATTTCCTCAATAGTTTTTCTGTGTGGTAGTGGTGGTATTATTTTATTAATATTGGCAAATCCTGAATATTTGATGGGGGTAAGGAATGGTGGATTTATTAGTCTTGGTGCTTACCTGTATAACTTAATCATAGCTTCCCCAACCATAATTAGTGCGGCCACCCCAAACTAAAGCAGGTATAAAACCTTGATAGTTACACAATTATGTATTATCTGCATGTTTGTGAATTCGGTATTAAACTTTTAAAATATAATTTACTCTTTGATTACCACATTTCATAATCTCATTGTAAAAATGATTTGCTCACAGTGTGTCAAGGACATGTTAGTGGTGGGATATGCTGTTATAAAAAAGGTCTGCATATGTGGAGGAACTTTTTACTTTCTTAGGTTTGTAACATTTAATGCTATTTCTGGTTTGCAATGCTTGTGCAGGTGTTTGAATACCAGTGGATTTTTTTTTTTCTGGCTGAGTTCCATGCGTGGAATATGTCTACTCAAATAATACAGCTCCCTTGTGTCACTTAGTTACATAAAGCAGAACAATCTATGAATAGGAAAAAAGTTACTTCTAAGGTTGCTGACTTGCAATATTTTGTAGCTCACGGCAATACATTAACTGTCTTGGTGACAAAATATTTTTTTGCATTTGGATTAATTTGTGCTTCACTAAATGTAATTTGTATAAAACGTTTTTATGTAAAACTATTTCTAATTTTAAATGTCCTAATATCTCTAACAAAAAACCCAAATAAAAAAAACCCAACACCCCCACACCTTCTTACCTATTGTGGTAAATAATCATAGAGTAACCATAATGTGTTCGGTTTACTCATTCATCAATGCACTTCCCAGCATGGCCAAACTAGTTAAGTGGTTGCTACCATTTCCACTATAAAACTACGTTTTTAGCAATTTATAACTTGATCATAAGAATGTATTTCAGACTTATTTGGAGGACAATCTCAGCCTAAGAGCTAATTTTTGTAAATCAGTTGTTTTAGATTCTAGATGGTTAGAGCAAAGTATATTTTTGTACCTTATGTTTAAGATAATTTTAAAATACAATACTGATGTATCTTAACTTTTTGCAGTTGATTTATATTGTAGATGAATCTTACCTGATATATTGAAATGTAGTCTAATGATTTGAGATGATGTACAGAACCATTGATAAATAGTTATTGTGCATGTACTGCAAATTGTTATACAGATATTATCTAAATGGGTCCATAATATAGAATTTACACTGGTGGTGGTAGTGGTGTTTTTTCACATCATATCTCTTCCAGAGGTGTATGCTCTTGTGCCTATAAAAATTGCACAAATATTAGCTTAATGGAACTGAATCAGGTTTCAAAGCTAGAAATATACAGTTGTGAACATAAACTAGATATCTGTGCACACATAAAGCTGTTCAGAAGTTTAACTGGTTATTGGTTTGTATAGATGAATAATATGCACTTACACATGTACACCTAATGTGCACATTTATTAGTTAGGGATTGGAAAATCTGGACATGGTATCCTTGCCACCTTTAGACATCAGTACATGTAAATACCTTTAATGTACTGTTTCTGTCTTCCGTATTTTTAAAAAATACAGTAACATTAAAACTTAACATGTTTTCTTTTTTGTTTCTCTTCTTGTGAACACAATTGTCCCCACACTTTTTGCACTTGCCGATAATTTGCAGCCCCAAATCTAGTTCATTAGAAATCTATCCAAGAACAAATAAGTTAACTGGGTAATTAATAATATCAAATAGCTGTAAAATGTGTTCTTAATGAAAACATGGTGTGATGGGGTTCCCTCTCCATTCATGATGCCTCCTGCTGATTGCTCTGACAACTAGCTCTGTCTTGTGCTGCGCCCTCCTCTGTAGTCTCTTCATCCATCATCTTCTCTCTGTATGTGTCCTCTCACACGCTCGGTATTGCCGCTTCAGGTCTATGGCTTGGTCCTCCAGTCAGGTCACTATTTCCTTCCCCTTCTAAGGAAATCACAATCTTTCCAGACCAACTGTCTGGTGTCTCCAGCACCCTGAGCCACTACCCAGTGGCTGGTAAGGGAACCCAGGCCCACCCTCTACATTGGGTTCCAGTCCAGGGACCTGATAACATGCAGCCTAGGCCTGAACTGCCTTTGACCTTGCTGCTGTTTCCCTGGGCTTTTTTCTACTTAACTGGTTCTCCCTTTCTCTGGGTTTGCCAGCTTCTCCACTCCCTCCTCTCAGAGAGTCTGTGCAGCCTGCCTTCCTGCAGACTCATACACTCTTCCCCCTTTCCAGAGAGTAACTGCCCTTCCCTAGCTGCCAATCTCTACCCTCTTGCTAGCTACCTGGCTTTCTACAGTCCCTGCCTGTTCCTGCCCAGGTGAGCCCATTCCTCCTCAATTAGCTCCCTGGCTTGCAGCCTGATTAGTAGCTTGGGACCCATCTGGCCTCACCCAATGCTTGCAAAGCCAGATGGGTCCCAAGCTACTAATCATTGTGGGTTGCATACCCCAATACACATGGGCACTTTTGTGGGTCACAGATTGTGAACTGGGAGACAAGGCATCAACCCAACTGACAGTGTACTCCTACATATGACATAAGGGCAAAAATCTCTTGCTGAGGAATATTTTGTCTACTCTTAGTTCAATTAAAAGGATGTAGTTCTTTCATCCAGTTTGTAATAGGTCCTAGCCGGGGCTCGACCCTTCCGGCAGGAGGGGAGCCACACCGACTCACTACACAGTTCATCAACTTATGTAATATTTTTTACTTATTTTGATAGAAGAGAGTAGTGCAATCATGTGAAGCAACAGTATATAACATTTATTAATTCTTGATACCAATACCTACTATGTCTATAATATTATTTTGCATTTGCAAATGCTCTATAAAAAGAGGGTACACGTAGATCAGATATAAGGCTAAGATTTAATGGGTATTTTTAGTAAAGTCATGGACAGGTCATGGGCAATAAACAAAAATTCACTGCCCCATG